AGAAACAGCTGTGTGAAGCCTCCGGGATGTAAATGTTTCGATGTTTTGGGTCATTCAGAGCTTCTTTCAGCTAGAAAGCCTCAGTTAGTATCACAGCAACAGCCGGGGAGTCCTTCAACCCGTTTCTGATTTGTTAACCACACGCTATCTGACAAAATCACCACACATTAGTGCTGTGATTTGGGCTGTATTTGACCAATTAAAGACACACTCAGAGTGCACATAATGTCTTTCTTTTTCACTCTACACGGTAAGCTGACCGTGACTAGGTGCTACTGCTTTCTATCGATTCACAGAGAGGAATACTCCACACTGACACGTTTTTAGTTTTTCTGCTCTACCTTCTTGAAAAAAAAAGACGCTGCTAAATCTAAATCGGTAACAATTAGGTGAACTGAAGCGTGACGATCTCTGCTCTGTGTGATTCTGACCCTGTTATTAGGGCCAAGCCCCACCACTGCCGCAGTCATATCTGAAGGCGTTTGAAGGTATTTTCCTGGCATGTTCACCGATGGAATATCAAGGCTGTTGTTATTCCCATTTTCAGAGACAATTCTGATGATTAGTTTTTTCACAGGAACTAAATGTGTGAGAGGGTTGGTGTAATAGATAATGGAGGAGTGGCAGTTCTTTCCTTAATCGATCTGTGCTCAGCTGGGTGTTTTATTCATTGATTTCCTCTTACTGTTCGTTTTTACTGACATTTCTGCTGTTAGACCGTGTGGTACTGTGGCAGCAGTTTATTTTTACTGTGTCTGTGACCTACCAAAAACATGTACTAACCTGGCATTATCACTCTTAACTCCACCAGGACCAACAGCACAGAATACCCTGTAAACCTTCAGGCCTGTTAACAGCAATAAATGGTTGTATTACTAACACACTCTACTTATTAAGGCCCTTGGTCACGAGTCATCAGTTCTGCTGACAGCTCCATCTGAGTGGGAGGAAGAAAAGGAAGTAGGTAATATTAGAGAGGCCAAAAGAAGATAATGCTTCTTAAATGAATCGTCCTAATTTGAATAGGGAATGGCTCATATTTGCAAAAAGCATGCTTTTATTTAATGGCTCCTTAATGGAAATGTGCAGATACAGTCCATCTTAATGGACTGAATCCTATAATAAAGTCAGCAGACTGACGACCACAATAAAGTTCGTTTCATGGGTTCAGTTTTCTACAAACAACTCTTGTGACCGACTGAAGAAATTTTCTTGAATCGGTTGGTATTTCGTGTGCATCCATGTCACTCTCTCACCCAGTCACTCAAGTTGAAGGCTAGAGTTTTAAAACTATTGTGCAAAGTGAGGTGTTATTTTACTGTTAAAGAGATTTATTGTTTGGGACTTTCACGTTGAGTTACCATGACTAAAAATCCCAGTCCAGTAAATGTGTTTGCTGTGCTTTGGTCATTGTTAATCCTCCCCTCTTGGCTAAGTGCCCCCTGCACGCTGTGGACACAAACCGAGTTCTGGTGATATACTGTACAGTGTGGTGTAATGTTCCCACCTCTGGCCAACACTTCCTTTATTCCTGAGGGCTATATGTTGTTATGGTGATGGGTAGCTCAGGTTAGAACAAGGAGGTAAGAAAGTAGCGCTGTGTTACTTCAAGTGTGGAGTCACATCAGAGTCTCTTCACGTGTATTGTTAGAGAAGCACATGCGAGAGTTTGAAAACCAATGAGTGACAATGGAACAGGGACGCTCTGCTCCTTTTCTTATTACTCTTGCTCTCTTGATCCTGCCTTAAACTCCATCAATTCTTTCAAGGTCAAGTGCCACTGCTTTCTAAAACCATGTAATCCTGCAATGACTTGCTCCCATAACATTTCTTCTCTCTTAGCCTTCAACCAAAGGACAAAAGATGGACAAAAACTGACAAGAGCTTTAGTAGAACTGAATTCAAGACTTCCATTTCTGTGTTTATCCAACTACTAATAAAACTCAGAAGAAAGCAAAAACAGGTGATTTGTAATCATAGGTTCTTACTGACATAAGGTCAGGTCAGTTTCTATACATTGGTTTCAGACTGAGGGCAGAAGAGCAAGGCTCATACACAGAGTCGAGAAAAAGTGGAAGAATTTTAGACACGACACAGCAAAGTAAGACTTCCATGAAAAATAGTGCAAGGTAAGGTGATGTTACTGAGATGAACCCTTTGGATCAAAATAATGTGGCCACAGAGTAAAACACTGTTATATTATCACAGTACGATTACCATGATAGTGATACTCAGTCCACCACAAGACAATCATAAACACGTCATGATATTGGATTGACTCAAATAGAAAAACAGAGGCAATAAAGTGAAAGAGTCTTGAACCACACCTCATTTCTTTACATGTTTCCTTCAAGGAGCTAGGCTTTCTTGCAACTGTTATTGGACCTGATCATTTGCAGAGGAATGGCTTTTGATTGTTTGTTTCTTAAGTCCATTAACACTGACTCACTATGAATCATTAAAGCATAAAAAGGCACCTAACTCAAGGGGTGAACCAGTGTTGTGTCTACACAGACAATTTAGCAAAGAACCAATTTTAAATTGTATCATTAGACAGTTTTGTGTTACTAGCAGCCTGTCACAACAACATATCATTGTTCCCATTTCTTCAGATGAATTTGTGAAAAATACAAAAGACGACACCGTTTTCCTGGCATAAAATCATATTTTTGCAACAAGAATGTGATTCACTAACAGTTATTACAAACACAAAAAACCTGGCCTATCTCTGCATGGTGTGCAGTGTGTCAGCTGGTGCTGTTGGGGATCTCAGGGATCTGATCCACCATGCAATACCATCTGGAAAGAGTTTGATTGGCATCAACATGACAATGATCCTAAACACACAGACAATGCAGTAAAACCATATCTGGACAGAAAAACACACAGGAGAACACTATTGGTCAAGGACTGGCCTCCCCAGAGCCCGGACCTCAACATTACTGAAGCATTGTGGGATCATAGTGACCAAATATAGACTTTCAAGCTCGACAGAACTGTTTGTGCCTTAGATACTGCATTCCCATGTACGTTTGCACATGTTTCAATAAATTGATGCACACATTTCCCAGCTTCCTAGAAAAATATATAAATATTTGCACAGTGATGTAGTGCTTTATGGCAGCACGGTGGCACGGTGGTTAGCACTGTTGCCGCACAGCAAGAAGGTCCTGAGTTCAATTCCACCATCAGGCCGGGGTCTTTCTGTGTGGAGTTTGCATGTTCTCCCCGTGTTTGCGTGGGTTCTCTCCGGGTACTCCGGCTTCCTCCCACCGTCCAAAGACATGCACTTAGTGGGGATAGGTTAATTGGATAACCCAAATTGTCACTAGGTGTGAATGTGAGTGTGAATGGTTGTCTGTCTCTGTGTGTTAGCCCTGCGACAGACTGGCGACCTGTCCAGGGTGTACCCCGCCTCTCGCCCTATGACAGCTGGGATAGGCTCCAGCGCCCCCCGCGACCCTGAAAAAGGATAAGCGGAAGCGAATGGATGGATGGATGTAGTGCTTTATCACCGTGGTTACATAATATCATTGTTTTTCAAATTTAATAATGTGCCAGTTCACCTAATTAGCCCTGTGATTAGCTTTCTGTCATTTTCCCTTTGTGAGTTTGTTCTTCACAACAAATTAATAAACTTCCAGTTGTCCTCATGCATTTCATATTTGGGACCACAACCAAGAACAGTACCACCAGAGTATTGATAAGGTATCTAAAGGGATAATGGGATGATACATTGCTGTATTCATTATTTTGTGTCATTGCTACTACAAAGAATAGAAAACAATTCCGCATTCTTATTTCACAAGGGATGGTTGGAAGGATGGAATAATGAAAGCTGTATATAATCCCTAATCAAAACATGGAATAGGATAGACTTATTCCTAGACTACAAGTCACCTTCACCATTTCACATACATTTATTTCATCCTCCCTGCATTCACATTCAAGTAAATCCAGTTTAGAAACACCAGTTAACTGAAAACTGATTTTTTTTCTACTGTGGGAGGAAGCTGGCGGACCCGGTTGCTCTTTGGTTTGCACTCATTGCTCAGACACACTTAACCTGGTGCATTGTTCTTGTAGCAGTGATTGTCCGGGCTGAGAAAGAAATTTAATGTCAAATAAATCAGTAAATAATGAAAGCAGATGTGTTGTCTTCACGACATCTGCAACAATAACACCATCTCTTTTAATCTAATACTAATTACTCAGCAATTACTTGGCAGGTGTGGAGGTTTATGGCTTTCATTATTCCAGCTCGTGCTTTTTTGATGGAACAAAAACAATCCACCCACAGAGGGTTTATGAATAAACACTGAACCTGCATTACATGCTTCTGAAAACAATTTCTTCTAAGAAACTCAGTTATTATTCATGCCCTTCATATTCCTTTAGTTGAAGAGGTGTAAAGCAAAGATGCATGCAAAGAAAAATGTCTTACTGGAACAGATTCACGCTGTCTTGGTCATTTGGTTTTATCACCAAGCTGAAAGGCTCTGTGAGGTCCTTCCTGCTGTCTGCCAACATCACTTCTTTTCTGTGTCATCGTCACCCTGTTCCCATCTCGTACCTTATCACCGTCATCGTTCTCTCCCTGTCAGCCTAAACCCCCCCTCTGTGTCCATCTTACCCTTTCCCAGTTGTTCTTCTTATTCAGCTTCCGTGTTTGTTGAAGAGCCAGTAAAAGTCAGGCCAGCAGCAGCTGTCCAAACACGGATAGCCCCCCACAGGTTCCTAGTTGATTTCCTGCAAGCTATTACTATTGCCCAACATTTCCACTACTGTCACCATGGTGCCAGTCGTTGGAGAGGGGCTGAACTAGCAGTGCGAATATGTGATAAAATGAAAATGAAGGAGAGCTTCAGGGAGCTGAGGAGAAACTATGAAACTGGAGAATAAGAAATAAAAATGCCCATGAAGAATAAAATGACAAATGTAACGGTTTAAGAAAACAAAAGTCAAAAAGTCTGTGAAGGTTCTCAGTCATCCAGGTCATCGTAGTCAAAGGAGCTTGCAAAGAAAAGCATCTGGACTTCTTTAAGTTGCTTGAAGACGTTTCACCTCTCTCGGATGAGAGGTGAAACCTTCACAGACATATCTAAATCACAAACTATTTTGTGTGAATTGCAAACCTACATTAACAGACCTACTCTCTTACTGAGCACCACAAACAGGTGATACATACAACACGGACTTACTATGGGTTCTTGGATATATTGGCTTTTATGGAGCTCTTCACTTGTCTGCTGCGGCTGGAAAGAACACTTATGAAATCTAGACAGAGAAGCAAATCAGTGAGCTGGAAAACACTTAAGAGTCTGGCGGTAATTTACCTGTCACAAATATCATTTCACACACTGGATGTAGGAAACGTTTGGCTATCACATAGTATAAATGACACTAAAATATAAATTTGATACAAGGCAGTATCTTTGCCTCTCTCTTAGTCATCTTTTGAAGCCATTGACTACACAGCATATCAGAGGAGTCATGCTGAGTCATTGATCCTTGGGGGCTCTTTGTGTCGCTTTTAAATGACTGAAAATCTGATTGATTTCTACATTTTGTCAAAAGTCAAAAAGGATATGTAATAAAAGTCCACTTGTGGTTCTATGTATGCTGAGATCAACAGAAGACAAATGACTGCCAAGACATTCAAAGATCCTGCAGTCTGTCCATTTTACAGTAAGATTGAACAACAGGAACAGCAAGACAGATGGTCGAGCTAACTACTAGAAACTGCTAAAAAACATTGCTTTAAACACTTGCAGACTGAAACTCCAAACCTTTACTTGCTAAAGACATAACAGTCCAGGCATGTGGGGCAGTTTACACCAATACTGTTCACAATATTCAGTTTGACAGACTCAAAAACATGTTTTAGGGTACTGGACCACCACATGCTGCCAACTCAATGCCTCATCACTTAAGACTATCAAACACAATTAGCAAGGCAAAGAAGCAGTATGAACGCTCACTTGTACTATTCTAGGTTTGAACCTGCATGCTCTTTTCTCTGGCAGCTACAGTTTCTTCTCCATCATCCATCCTCTTTCACTTATTCTTATCAGGGTTACGTAGGGTTGGAGCCTTTCTCAGCTACAATAGGGTATAAGCCAGGGTACATCCTAGGCAGGTTGCCAGTCTTATGAGGGTTAATGACATCTAATATGACACTACATACTGCTTCCCATCTGGGTGAAGGACACTCACAAAAGAGACTATTAATCTCAATAGTTTCAAATTCTAGTTTTAAAAAAGGATTCAATGAAAACATTCTTCCAAAAAATATTCCCTCATTTATTGAAAGGGAAAGTTGCTGTCAACTGTCCACTATCTAATCTAATGAGTGTAAAGGCCAGGGCATATGGGTTACATCATTTTCATACTCATCAAACCACTCGTTGACCCTTCATGCCCTGTGAATGGGATTCTGGAAAACAAGTCCCATCAGCATCAAGACGTTTCATCAAACGGTGATCACGCTGAAGAACTTTCCATTTGTTATCAGTGCCCCACCATCTAAGAGGACAAGTTAATCCAAAACAACCACTCAACCACTGCATTCATGATCCCCCAGATCTTACTGAAGGTTTCAACACTCAGGTTTTTTATTTAATCTGTTTTCCGATAGACCAGATTTGACAAAAAAACCTGAAGTTAAAAAAGAACAGGCAGCATCACAGCTGCTGTTCAACACCGTCTTCCATTCCAGTCAAATGTGAAATAACACTCACCGTGTCTGATTTTTGAATGCCCACCACCTAATTATCTAGCACTTTGCTTTAGCAAAAGGGTTTTTTTTTTGTATTTATAGTTCTATGACTAACCATTTTCTATCTATTTTGGGTCCCTTGACGCTCATACTAACACTGGTAGGGACGCTGTGTATCCACCTGCTAATTTCCTGGATTTAATGATGTGAAATTAGGGACCACGTTTGTAGGGAAAACTCGCCCACAAATCGAGCACAGCAGGTCGTCTTACATGGTAATTAGGAAGTGTTAAATTAAGCTTAAGCTTTAACAAATCTCTGGGATTTGCATTTCCACAAGCAGGTTTGTAAAGTTGTCAAGAGTTTGATGAGCCCACCTCAGAACACATATGTATCATAAGTCTTACAGCAGGAAATAGGACCAGATTATGAAAGTGTTCTTGGGAGAACACCAGGATGTATTTCATGTTGTTTCCAAGCGCATAAAAGAGTTGTCTAGTTGATAGCTATCTACAGTTTAAAATGTACTCTGTGTGTTATGGTGTGTTGAGAATACAATAGATTAAAAAGTCTTTACAGCTCTGAACTCTTTTCACAAACATGTCCCTGCTGAAGCTCTGAGAAATGTTTTTGTTTGCCCATTGCTGTACTTGCTATCTCCTGCCCTATTACTAAGACTACCAGTGGAGTACAGGTATTAAACTGCTGCATGGGTGGCTTACGGAAAGGAAGGTCAGCAGCCCAATTAGCCCCTGCTGAAATGCGAAGAGGTGAAGTGATGGAGTGAAAGACAGGCAGTAAATTATAACATTAGGCGTTTCTTTTTTCTCTCTTCTCCCAAGCAGTAGATTGCTTTTTGTCCTGGTCGTATAGAAATGATTTTTTTTCCTCCAGGAGGAGAAACATTTATCTCATTTGATTTAGGATGGGAGCGTTCACCACCGTTAAATGATCCTAAAATAAAAGTAGTTGCAGTAGCAGTAATGGGACAATGTGTCAGTCTGCACACAGCAGGTGAGGAGAACAGGAAGTCCAGTCATATCTGCCATTTAACTGCTCAATTTTCAAAGTAAAAACCCTTTTTATACTACCCTGTTATACTACTGTCCTGTCGTGACCATTTGCATTTTTTCTTTTTTTGCACAAACAAGAAAATGAGAAAAACTGTTCTCTAATGTCCCTCATTTATTCTGCAGGCTGTATGTGAAAGATGGCTGACATCACCAATTGGCCACAATCCTCTCGTGAAGCCTGAGTGGTTTAGCATAAACTGGAGGGTGGATCTCCCTTAGAAAGCGAAGAATAGTATTGGCCTTTCATTCACAAGGTATGCTATCTCTTAAGACAAAAACCCATCAGGAAAACATACTGATGCCATAGATCAAGGGAGCTTTGGGTTGTTTTGCAGTAGACGTTTATACAATCCACCGTTTGACAGAATGAAGGTTTGAAGCCTTTTAAGGTGCTTCCACAGTGGCTTCCATTTTCCAACCCAGAGGCTATGTCTATCATTTATATACAGCCTATTACTCTTCCCTGATTTCTTAGTATTGAGACGGTCCCTAACTTCATTACCTTTCCCTCACATCAAGTTGCCAGGTTTTAATATCGGATTATGAGGTTCAAATACGCCACGCAACAACAGTCAAGCTTTATCCTGCACAATGACACAACTCTGCTGATAACTGAATGAAGGTTATGAAATCTGAACTTAACTGATGGTCTTAATATCAAACCCTAAAAATACAACCCTTGTGTGTTTTCTACATTTTCAAATGTGCATCGTAGATTTGATCAAAGACGCACAACCAAATCTTTGAACGCATGCTTTTCATCACCCTCGCTTTCACTGTTCGTCATCCTCACGGGGATATGCGTGTACGCTGTGTTTATGCGAGTGCGTGTCATCTTATATGAGTGTGCATGACAGCGACGTTATGCACTCCTTCATATGTAATTCAAGTGATTGCTTCTGTCCTGGTGTGACTGCAGGAGCTTAAGGCAACAGCTGTTCTCTGCTGCTCTGACTGTTGTGGCCGCATCCCACATCTCCCCACTCCACTACTGTCACTCCACATTCCTGTGCTGGCGCATGTCTGAAGGCTCAGACCTGTTTTTTGTATCATTTGAGATTGCAAAAATCTGCATTAACAAGACATGGGCGTTTTTGGAAAGGGTTAAAGGATCGTTAATAAAAGTCCAGCTGTACAGATCAGCTTTGTTGTAATTTGTAGAGGTTTGCAGATCTCTGTCAATGTTTTACACATATTCATATTCTCTCTGTTTCTTTTAAAGAAAGATGAGAAACAGGCTGAGTTGACAAAGTAATAAATGACAAACCAGCTACAGAATTAAGCTTTCCATCATTATAAATCTGTTGGACTGAAGTTATTTGAACACCTTTTCCTGTCCTAAACGTCGCACTCGTGTGAATCTAACTTATTCTGTGAATCTATTCTTCTTGGGACGAAGACTAAAAGAAGACTAAAGCATAAAGACAATAGCCAAGTGGATCAAGTCTGTTTCCAAATGTCTTGCTGACACTCATTCAAGCTGCAATCTGGGCAGTTATTAGGCTGGGTCAACACCTTTGCCATGTTTCTCGAGTTGTTCTCCAGCAGTTTTAAGCATGATGGGATCTGCCGCGGGTGGGGCCACTGCCATCTGGGGGAGTCGATCCAACGCGGGATAGTGCTTGCCAATGTTTAGGTGGGCTGTACATGTCAAAGCGATAATCACTTGAATGCCAGAACCCGAAGCTGTCAAGCAGAACACTGGCTTTTAACGAGATGATCAATATCATTCACTTCACAGGTCAGTGGTTTAATGTTGTGGCTGATTGGTGTGCATCTCTTCTTTATCTACCTCCTCTATCTATGCTCAGTGCACTCCCAGTATTGAAAGCTCCAAAAAATCCAATTCCTTTAATGACAACTTGACGCTAGCTCCAAAAATGATTTAAGCTCCCATTTTAAAATTACCCATTTCTATATTTACCCATTTAGAGTTTTATTAAGCCTAAAAGTTCGCTTAAAGTTTGTTTTGACTGAGGTGTCAGTCATTTATATACCATTGAAAGAAGTAGGAAAAAAAAGAGAAAAAATAAGCTTATAATTTGATTGTCTATGGAAAAAAGCATGCAAATAACATAGTCTGAAAGAAACTGTAATAAATGTGAGGGTAATGTCTCCATTAATGGAACCAGTTCCATGACATTGCTTTGATTTGTTTTTCATGGTTACGTTACCCAAGCTCTTTTCTTGGGTCTATCAGGCTTACAGGTGTGCTGGCCTTTGGCAAAAAAAAGCGTATCAATATGCAAACAGTGAAGTATTTCAAAAGCCATCATCTACAAAAGTTCCCAAGCAGGCAACAAAGAACTTTATATTGATTAATCCTCCGAGATGCATTCTACTAGCTTTGGCCCAAACTCATTTTCTCTGTCATGTTTTCTATTCTTCAACCAGCAGTTGCTCTCAGCAGCAATTATGCTATTATCTAAACAACACAAAAGACCAGTGCAGGCAAAGTGGAACAAAACACAATCTTGGTCCTTTTAACAAGTATGTGTTGCCTCAGGTAACATTAGGCATTTCTGCAGACCTCTCAAAGGAAGATGGGTGGCAAATCTGTGCCAAGATTCAACTTTTTCGTGAGTAGAAAGCTCTGTTCTCTGCTATTGTATCATAGAATATCTGTATGCATGTACTAAATTTCAATACTTTAATTATAAGAAAACTGCCATGCTACTCTATGCCCCTTGTAGAAATTTCATCTGTATTAACCTCACAGACCTAGTCCTCAAGGTTTCAAATTCAGATATGCCCTATCTAGGTTAAGTGGGTATTTCTGTTTATTTCTGCATGGAACTCAATTCTTCACATTCACACCACAGTATGTCCTCCATTTCTTCTTCTTTCCCTCATGAATTATCAATAGCTTGCTCCCGTGCGTGGTGATAAGTCTTTGAAAAGTGACCGTGAATACATATAAGCAGACATTAAGAACTGATCGGCACCTGCTACATTCACATCACCACAAGAGTATTTTTTGTGCTCTCCAGGAAACATAGAATACTGTATGTGTCAGAGTTCCTACCAGGAAGGGCATGGCAAGGTCAGCGAAGTAAACAAACGCGGCCCCCAGTGTAAATCCTACAGCCACAGGCACGAAAGCAAATGAGCCGTACTTCCCAGAATCCTCCGCCATGTCGATGGCTGGGGCCAGCAGTGACCAATAGGAAGCAGCCAGCATTACCTGAAATACACAGAAAAAGAGGGCAAAGGGGAAAATTAAAAAAAGAAGAAGAATATGAAGCTTGGATTTTTGTGTACTTTTGGTTTCAGTCCAAAAATGCTGTCAGGTTAGAGGGAAAAGGAAAAGGATGGAGGATGCCCTATAGTGCTGTAAAGTCATGAGTCACCCCTCAATTCTTTATATTTTGTTAGGAAAATGTAAATGATGAAATGATAAACATATACTACGTGGAAATCCATGGAAATAAATTATATAGGGCAATTCAATCCTTCAACACAGCCTGAACACTCCGAGGCAAGTTTTCTTGTCATTTCCTGAAGTAGTCTTCAGGAATAGTTCTCCAGGCTTCTTGAAGGACTTTCAAAGCTCTGTTGGATGCTGACTGTCTTTGGTCCCATTCTCTGTCAAGATGATCCTACACTGCTTCACTAATGTTGAGGTCTGGACTTTTTTCTTAAGGTTTTTCACAGGAGCCAAACGTTATTGTAAGCTTTTTTTTTTTTTAGTGGTCTTAAGTGATAGTTCTTCAGGTGTTCAGAAGTGCTTTCAAAGTTCTTTGGATTTTGGCTGCTTTTTCACTCATTTTCAGTCCAGTCCTTGCAACAGTAAATCCTTGCACTCAACTCAAGGGATGAACTAGTGTTGTGTATATTTGTAACTGACGATTTAGCAAATAACCAACTGTTAAATTGTTACAATATGTTAAACATAGGATGACAGGCAAAAAGAACTACTTATCAAAAACTCTGCATATTTAAGCAACAAATGTCCAAAAGGAAACGCAGTTGATCCATCTACTGTTCATTGAAGCCTTATCAGAAATGCTGTGAGTGGAAGGGTGACTTCCAAGAAGCATTCTTAAGAAAGAGAAATGGGGAGAAAAGACTGAGGTATGCCAAACATGAAGACATTTTTGGTTCAAATCATTGTCAATATGTAATGGGTACAACAGTGAGTGTCTACAGCTATCTGTAAAACACAGTGAAGTTCTATCAGAGTTTGGAGCTGCATTTCAGACAGTGTTAAAATTGATCGGCATATCAACACAGAAGAGTACTCTCAGATTTTCATCACTCATACAACGCCAATACACCAACTGATAAAACCATACCTAGATAACATTTTTTTTAGAAAAACACACATAATGGAACACTTTCAGTCATAGAGCAATGCCCCCAGAGCCACAACCTCAGCATTATTGAAGCAGTGTAAGCTCATCTTGACAGGGAATGGCACAAAAGACAGCCAACATCCTTCAAGAAGTCTGGAGAGCTATTCCTGAATACTGCGTAAAGAAATTAAAAGAAAGCTTGCCCAAGACAGTTCAGGCTATGCTAAATAAAGATGATGATGCCAAATATTGACTTTCAACTCACCAGAATTGTACAAATGCTTGTTTCCCACAACCTGTATCATGTTTGTATGTTTTTAAGTAACTGAATCTGTATTGGTCTCTTGCGGTAAATGCCAGTGTCACAGGGTCAGCTTCCTGTTTCTACAGAAAACTGTGTCTGGTGAAATATGTGTAACATAACTTTTGAAGCATAAGCAAATAAAACAATAAAAACTCCCTAACATGGATGACAAGACTTTTGCACAGTACTGTAAAGCTGTCCGTGTAAGCCAATCAAGACATAAATGTAAACTTGGCAGAAAGAAAGTTATAAAACAAAACTATCAATCAAAAGTTTTCCATTAAAAATCTTCAATCCCAAGAGCTGTTTTATAAAATCCAAAACAGTGTGACCTATAGAGGCTATCATTTATTAATATCAGATTTATCTTATGGAGATTTTTTAGTTGGTTTCATTTTATTGCTTCTTTTCTGTCGCAGCATGGCAGATGAAACTCTGTTGGCAGCGACACTGATCTTTTCAAATTCTTTCAGGTCACCTGAATTGCCTATTTGAAGCATTTCTCTGATCATTCATAACATCAAGACACATCACTCCAGTCTGAAGATCTTCAGTAACAAATGGTGCATAATAATTAACAGTGAACATCAATGTTAACAGCACTTAAAACTGCAATTGAATTCTTTTGAAGTTCCCCAAGTTTTATTGGTGCATGTGTGGATATGTGTGCTGCCATTGTCACTGTGTGTAATTGTCCAGTATTCAGTACCTTAGTCTGTTTGTATAAGCTGTCAAAGTCCAGACAGAGAGAGCAGCACACAGCAGTGCAGCTTTTCAAGCTTAATGTGTGTGAACACAACACATATTCAGCTTCTATTGTGCATCACTGAAAAGTTGCCGAAGCACTTTTTTTTGTCTTGGAGACCCCTGTTGAAGTTATGTAGAGGTGCTTATCAAGCATTGTCAGGTTTGTATAACAATGCCAAAGTTGACTAGAATCCTGGGAGATAAAAGGTTTTGTCTTATTTGTGTTGAACTATCCGAGCTTTGCAGCAATCAAGTGACTGAAAGTGACAAATGATAATTTCTTACTCATCAAAAAGATCCCATTCTATTTTCCATCTACACTATAACCTGTCTGACACACTCAAACACGTTATTTTATCCATTTGCCTAAATGTGATTTCTTGCCACTTTCAGATTGGCAGTCAAAAACTATCTGCACTTACTTTTAAAGCTTTCATGACAGAAATGCCATTTATTCTGAGTGCAGCAGCTTTCAAACTGAATCCCCAGTCAGCAGCACCATGGAGAGGGAACAAAGTTATGAGGATATAAAAAGAAAGCTCAATTTAAAAGAATATAAATTGCATTTCTTTGTGCCCATGACAGTAAAAAATTATGTCTACGGTTTAAAGAGAAGCCAGAAAGAAACCTAGTGAGAAATTGAACCAAACTAAAAATCCAGTTGAACAATATGGCATTTAATGAAATTAAAGTTATTTCAGTGGTAATACAGTACAATACACTCATTACAAAAACAGCCAAAGAAACCCTTAAAAAAGAAGAAGAGCAGATCTACAGCATTCATTTATGCAATCAGGCCTTCTTTACATGATCTAACTGATCATTTCCAAACTCACACCATGTTTTTAGCCATGTTGGATCCTGATGATGTTTATCAAAGACCTCCATACTAATCCCAGCCCTAAGGGAAGGGTTAGAATCAGGATTTAACACCAGTGATGACTTAGACCTCAAAATGTTAAAAGGCAGCAACATTTCAGCAACTTTTTATTGTAATGCTAGAATTTTCTTTTAGTTACCCTATAAAATGCAAATGATTGGCTGACTTCTTGGTTGAAGAAGAATGACCAATTTGATACACTCACATGTATGACTGAAGTTTTTTCCTCTTCTTCTAACTGGAAAAACTTAATGAGAAGAAGGGTTTTGCCAGTGAAACTGATTACAGGGGCCACGGCACTGAACTTAATGGGGGCACTGGTTTTAAATGTGTATGATTATACCAGCAGCAGCCTGATTGCTGATTACAAAAGAAGCTCCCTTTCTCTGCTGTTCCACTTCAATTGCTTTCCAATTATAACTGGTAGTTTTAAGCAATCTGGTTGCTAAGCAAAAGCAACTGGTTCTAGTGATAACTCAAAAAGTAGGACCTTTTCGATTGCTCCTCTGTTAACTTGGAAACTTCTTAGAGGCTTGGCTCATTTTGACAACTTGACCTCACGCCTAGTTGCACCAGCAGCATAAGCCATAATCACACCAGACATTTTTCTTTTTTCATCTTCAACACTAGGTTTCATCACATTCAATTTCCATTCCCCGAGTAAAAAGAATGCAATTTTGCAATCTGGAGAACATTATATAGTTTTGTGCCAATTAAATTAAGCCCAGTGAGCTTTCTAAATATTACAGCAGCAATCCAAAGTCAAAGTGCAGTGAGTAGAAACGCTTTTGCTGCACACAGATATCAAGCCTCAGGTGCACAATCTTTGCATTTGTTATGTGAATGAGAATTCAAGCACGGTCAACCAATTACATTTCAAACTCTGTTCACCACTACTTATCTTACATCAACTGAAGCCTAACAAATAGTCCAATATTAGCTGTTTGGAAATGTATTAGTATCTGCATTTATAATGCGCGAAAAATTAAAATGTAAAAAGTAAAGAAAACATGGAAGAACTCTTCAACCATGTTGATGTTGTGTAGTTTGTCCACCAGAAGGCCCCCTACAAATTTCCAGAACATGTGTTTGAAACACACAAAAACACAACTAGCTGATCTGAGTTAGACAGCGTAAGTAAAAACTAAGTACTCATAACAAACGTTAGGGGACTATCTTTATATATAAGTTCTGAAAGAAAGAACTATCAGCTGATATCAGCATCAGTCTTAAAAATCCTATTGTGATTGGGCTCTAACAACCACTATATAATATATTAAATAGGTGGAAGTGACTTGAGAATAGTTTTGACAAAATGAAGAAAAAGGCAAGAAATCAAACTACGGACATGTACAATCAACCTATTTACAAACTTGTGCATAAGATGACTGGTGTTATAAAGAGAATTACTAACTATTATAAATTATTTCCACACTTAAAGTACAAACTACAGTCAGCTACACTTTAGTGGCAAAGAACTTGAATTAAAAACACACACACACATTTATAAATTCACATTTATCTATTTAACTCGCATTCATTTATTTTTTCACATTTAGACTATTTGTCATATCCTTACATTCTTTTGAGTGATGAGCTAAGTGGATAATAGTTATAGCTTATAGCTATTTTTAGCACAGAGACATGAAAGTTTTTACTCTGTTGATACAGAGTTTTATTTCAAGCTACATTTATAAATTCTACTTCTCAAACAAATAGTACTGATTAATGAAAGGGGTAAAATAATTAACAAAGAATATAATCAATGTAGTCATTAACTGAGTTTGCTGTAATGTATCTAACTGATGCTCTAAAAACATGAATTTTCTTTGATTGTCATACTAAAAATCACTTGACGAGCTTCTCAACATAGCCACTTAAAAAGAACACACTGATTGTGAAATCGTGCATAATGGTGTTCATACTATTGTTCATGCAACTTTCATATTCAGTTGCTA